CCCAGCGGGGGAGGAGGGGAGGGCTGCGAGGGTCCCTCTCCCTGAGGAGGAAGAAGCCGCGGAGACATCTTGTGCCAGACTGACTGTAACCCCCATTCCCTGCCCCCTGCACTGCTGCGGGGGAAGAGGAAGCAGAGCTGAGCCCAGGAAGACTGGAGGGGTCGAGGGCGGTGGAAAGGTGTGTTGTTTTCAAGACCTGGTTGTATCTCTCGTTATCCTTGATGGTGGTGGTTGTTTGTATTAGGTGTATGTTGTTACCCCCAAGTTGAGTCTGTCTTTTGCCCATGACCATAACTGGTGAGTGAGCCCTTCCTGCCCTTTGTCTCGACCCTCAAGCCTTTTTGGTTGTATTTTCTCCTCCCCATCCCTCAAGGCACAGGGGATGGGGCAGGGGTGAGCAAGTGGCTGCATGGGCCTTTTGTTGCCAGCTGGGTAGGCTCAAACCATGACAGAAGATGCATACCTTGCAAAACTCAAGTTTATAATAAAAAGATCAAAATATATAAATATTTGTCTGAAGTAAAGATTCAGATAACATTTTAATTCATACTCAGTTTGAATCACATGTAGATTTTAATGAAAAACACCAGTATGCTTAAATTGTGAGTTATGACATTTAACCCTTTGGGGAACACTGATTACTATTTTATGTGCTAATTAGGAGATGATCTGCAGAACTTCCAAGTGGCACCAACAGACAGCTTATTTCTGGTTATAATGGCATCTAAAATGAACTTACGAAACTTTGAGATCCCCCTCAGAGTTTTTTTCTGTCCTGGTCAGGCACTTATAGAAGAAACTGCTAAAAATGTGTGTACGGTCAGCAAGATGTTTTGGCGCCTTCTCCAGCAACAGGTATCTATCAAAGAAAAAAGAAGGAACCTATCAAATTCCTTTTCTACAAAGTACCATTACTGATAAAAAAGAAGAACCATTATTTTAATGACTTACCATACTCAGTTTATGCTTACTATCACTTGCCTTCACAGCTGATAATCATGCCAAACTTTTCTCTCTTTCAATATGCACATGGATGGACATCATCTATGTTGAGTCTGTCTTTTGCCCAAGAATGCAGTTCAATCACTAAGAATGCAGTTATTTGTCCCAGACTTGTGCTCCAGCATCAATGCTTCTGAATTTGGTTTTAGAGTCAGGTTTCTAGCCCTTAAAATTAAGACAGCCTTGAAAACCTAACCAAGTATAAACCTATGGAGTGTTATACTCATGTGTGTACAAAAACCATATAACAGGTCAGTACTACAAACAGGCCATTTTACTTCTACAGATTAAGCATGTGAAAGTTAAGACAAATATTCTACAAATACTCATGCTATATGACTTTATCGTTGGCGATTTTATTATAAACATCAGTTTGAGTGTTTATTCTGTCATCCTAGAAGGCCAAAGCTCTCATAATTGCAGTCATCCCACACAAGGTGCCTCCAGCTTTGCCCATGATTTGGGCAAGTCATACATTATACAGTTTGCACCACAATGAAAACTGAGAATGTGGGAAGTCTAACAAATGTAAAAAGCAGATGGGTTTCTGCAATGGTAGCATTAAATTCCTTTATTCAAATCTTCCTTTTCAGGCGAGATGAAGCTACAGCTATTAAGAGGACCATGCTGTGTGATTTTTTTCTAGTTTAGAGCAAAATACCGTGGACTTTGCTGTAAAACCACATCGAAATACTCTGGTACGTGTTTCTTTTTCCACTCCTCTAGACAAGACGTTTTAGCTGGCCTCCCATTGCTCACAACTACTGCAGCCATGCTGGATGTCAAGCAAAATGGAATTCATACAGACAACCTTCAAAAGCACCACAATTCTGCTTAGGTTTAAGTCAGCACAGGGAAAATAAACCTCAGCTTTAGGGAACGGTGGCCCACAATGCTGGTTCTGGAAAACTTGCTTTCACAAGCAACTTTAGCAGGATGGCATGAAGCAGGTAAGGCAAGCACAACTTTCTCAAAAAATATTATCTGTGTTCCTTTCGGCAGGAGCTGTGCATCAGAATTCCTGAACTCTTGCACAGAATAGCAGAGGATGCTCCACTTCATGCAAACTTAGTAAATAAACTACTAGTACAGACCCTTTAGTTTGTTCAACTGCCTTCTTAAAACTGCTCAGCACTTTCTGTTCTGTAAGGTCACTAACAGGCTTTTTTTCCCCAGCTATTCTGTCTGGATTACACTGCAGCCCTTGTTATATTGTCCCTTTAGAGGGACAAGAAGAATGAAATTGAAACAAATGAAACTGCTAAGAATACACAAAATCTTTTAAAAAAGTCCAATTTACAAATTCATTATACTGTTACTTCTGAAATTGTTGTGTCATATTTAGTGACCAACATTTACAGTAACATTTAAGCGCAGATCAGGTCTCAGAAAGAAGGGTACAATTAAGCATGTGATTACTTACTTAAGATAGAAATCAATGATGACATCATTGAGAAACTCTCCATATTCTAAGCACTCTAGGTCTTCTCTTGTGACTCCCAGTCCTCCTTTTGCAGGTGGGGGTGGATAAACAATTAAACTAGAAAACACAAATCACATTATAACAGTGAAAAACTGTGTTTTTCATGAGACTCATCTTAGTATGGCTATTCCACACATAGGAGATTTTCTAGAAAACCTGTTAAAGGTGGTAGTTCTCAAAACTGTTAACTAACTCAAAAGTTCTTTAGCATTTCTTCCTTCAACAGCTAAGTGTTACAAAAGAAACATGCATCCCAATGCACACTGAAATTTTAAGAAAAACTTCTGAAGAGGAGATTATTTTTTACCTTCTTCTTGTTTTTCTATTTTTGACGAAAAATAATTGACAAATGGCTATATAAAATAGGAAGAAATACTAGAGGACATATTCTGAAATGGTACAAATGAGCAGTGATTCTTCTATTCATTAAGACTCCAATAAGGACTCCCACATTTCCAAGCAGGAAACTTGGGTTTATGCCACATACATACTGTAAGCAGTTTGAAACCGCCCCAGTTACCTCTAATGTTAGTATTTTAAAAGTATTTTAAAAGCTCTGTATTAACAACCATATTACTTAGCTGGAACCATAACCTGAGCATTTTGCTGTTGCAGAAACAAAACCAACTGCTATATTGTCAGTAAAAACAGTAACAGCAAATCAAGAGCTCTTAAGAGAAATTTACTTCACTAATGTTTGTTGTACTAGAAGTATGAGGCCTAACAGGCTTGGGCAGACAGAACTGAGGTATGTCAGCGCTTTCCTAGTATCTTGCTGCATCACATGTTTGCCTGTTCTAATTTTTTAATGTCTGCTGTTAACCAAGCTTCTGTAGTAATCAGTGAATAGTATGATAAACTAGGTATAAATAGATCACGTGTGACCAAACAGTGAAATAAAACATTGTTTAGATTTTTTTAAAAAGTTAGCAATGGTTTTGCTGTGATATGGACTTTGATGGACACTCACAGAGGCCATAAGATCCCTACCCTCCATGATATGAGCTTGTAGTCACAGTTCAGGTATTCTCTAATTTCTGTGAGATTCTCTGTCATCCTGCAACACATACGTTTTGTCTGTTAACTATTAGGATGGAAACAGGAATAACTACATTCATACTTGGTGATATTTTAGATTTCCAGAGCATCTTTCACACAACACTTTCAAATCAACTAGAGAATGGTATTTAAGCCAGGGCTTTTGTTCCAGCAATTTGTTTATTTGATTTGTTTTGTTTTCACCTTCTCACTTACATGAAATATACTTACTTCTTAACTGTTCCGGTTTCTTTTACTTCTTCCCATCCTTCATTCAGTTCAGAGGACAGAGAGGCAGAATAGCAACCACTATCCTGCTTATTTGCAAGTGCATAATTGGGCCTGGCCACTTTTGGTTTTGATTCCTACCAGAAAAAATCCAAACAATAATAATAGTACAAAACATTATACAGGTTGATACTAGAACAGAACACATTTTAAACCAAGCCTGAAGCCCACAGAACTACCCTTCCTCCCAGAAGGGGAATCTCGCTGGAAAGCAGAAGTGTAAACATCAGTATTTAGACAAATGTTCCACTGCTCAGACAATAAAAATATTATGTCACTTAAAACCATGACAGTTTCTTCTGTTCATAACCGCTCTGTAAAACTGTTTAAGGATTATTCAGCCAACTGACACAGAATTGGTTTTGGAGAAGAAACAGGACCTGAAAGGACAGAGACAAGTATCAGACTGTCTTATCAGGAGCTGTGTATGCCTGGAAGGTTGGAAAAATCTGGTTCTTAACAATCTGCCTAAAAATTATACAGATTTGAACTGGCTGGCTCAATTTTTAAATTCCCAGTTTCACAGCCAGATTAATTTGTTGTCTCTGTGCTTTTTAATGATGGGAACAATTTCTGAAGTGACAATGATGTGGGGTTGGGTTAAGACATTTACTCCTCAGAGGGAGGTCTCCCCAGCAGCCTTAGGTATCATTTCACATTTCAAGCTGTGAAGCCTCCACAAGAATGTCTAGAGGTGTCTGGAACAAGCAAGATACAGAGCTCCTCCTCTTCTGCACCCCTTCTCTTCCAGCTCAAATGAAAAATGGCTCCATCACTCACTATTTGATTAACTCCCAACTTGCTGTCCTGGAGACACCACAAGGGCAGGAAACCCCTGCGGTTCAAGGCATACACAACCATTAGTCAACCTAAAGCTTCAGTATTTGCCACTTACTGGTGAGGTCTATACACTATCCCTCTGTAGACACAATCTAGTTTATTGCAAACCTTGCCCCATTGTGAGAGAGAAATAACAAATACGACTAGGGTTTTTCTGAGCTATGGATTAAGACAGACAACCGATCTAACACTTACTAGAATGTGTGAATGCCAACAGGTGGTGATGAATCAAGCAACAGCTACACACTAACCTGAACTGCAGGCTCATGAGCATCTGAGGTATTCTCTTTTGGCATACATTGCTTTAGTAGATCCTTACTATAACTCATAAAAGAGGTCTCTTCAGGAGAAAGGTCCTTAAACAAAGGTAATGCTTGCTTCAATGACAAAACCTCAGAGAGATCTGGTGCTCTGTTCTTCTTGCTCACAACTGCAATCAATTCAGTCAGCCTGTCTTCTTCCCATTCTGTGAGTGGTTGGGACAACTCAAGAAATAAAAATTCACTAGATTTGGCTGGAAAAAGGAGAGAACAGATAGTATTAGTTATTAGACTGGGTGATAAAAACTTGTCTGAACACCCACAATGGAGCATAAAGAGACAATGGTAGGAGGAGGAGCCCAAACAATACCCTGCAAGGTTCATCACAGGCTCCATCAGCCCACCAAAGGCCCACCTTCACAAGCCCAGAGGAGCCCACGGGCACAACGGCAGGCAGGAACCTGATTCAAGGACTGGGAGGAGGGGATACCCAGTCTTGGGCCTTTCCCAGGGCTGTCCCAGGACAGCCTCGGCCCCAGGGTCCAAACCTGAAATCCATCAAGACGAGTCAAGGCCAGAACAACTTTTGGACTGAGAGGGGTTGCTGCTGACATGTACAGCACACATGGTGGGATGCAGGGGAAGAGCATTTTGGGATTGCACAGGGCTTGTTATGGGATGTTTAAGGCAAAGGGAGGCATTTAGGTGATTTGGGGAGGAACAAGTGTGGGAAAATAGAGGGCTAAGGGCATAAAAAGGACCAGTTGCATCTAAATACTTCGCTGGTCAATACACTTGTCTGGCCACGCCCTGTGCACTGATCAGCACAGTCTGTCCTGGTTTTTTTCTTAAATTTGTTTCCAACTCTCTCCTGGGTGAGGGACTCTACTCAATGTGTGTGTACCAAGTCTGAGTGCAGCAACTGGAGCAAGTGTGCATGTGCAAGAGAGTGTGACTGCCAGCGAGGATCAAGACAAATTACATGAGCAGGTGAAGTGCCCTGGGAGCCAGGAGGGTGAGCAGGTCCCTAAGGGACATCTCTGTCTGCGAGACTGCCTGTGTATCTCTACGGATGAGAGCACAGTGGGGTCAGCTATTGGGACCAGGGGAATCCTGGCCAGCTGTGTGCCTGGGTGTGCATGACAGCCTGTATCAGCAACTGGCACTGGCCTCAGTAGCTTGTACACCCAGGTGCCAGCAACTGGGGAGACTGGGATCCAGGGCCAACAACTACATAGACTGAGCATCTGGGCCCAGCTGACAGAGTGATCCACCTTGCATACATGTATGTGTGTGTGTGTGTGTGTATATGTGTATGCATGTATTTTCTCACTAGTGGGCCTCCATCCTGCTCAGCCAGAGAGGCGAGCAGGATGAGGCTATTGGTGCTGTCTGTATCCATATGAGTGCTGTGTGTCTGTGTTATCCGCACACTGAGCTATGCACACATGTGGTGTATGTGAGTGCTCTGTGTGAGCTACCTATTGGGACTACATCTTCAGCCTTGCTACTGGTTGGACACGGAGCTGCAGCAGCCCCAGGCTGTCTGATCTGGCTCAATATATTGTCCTCTAATATTAATGCACTAAGTAGGCACAGCAGAATCATAGCAACCTTTTCCACAAACTGTAAAACCATCACGGCTTTGTTTCAAGAAGTCTCTACACGCATTTCAAAATATTTACATTACTACAGAAATAAAAGGCATAAAACATAAAACATGCAAGCACAGAAATGTAATAACTCCTGACGGTTTCTCCTACAACAAGAATGTAATCAAGGTAAATAAACCTAAGATTAAAAAGTGCCTCACAGCTTCATACTCAAGATTCTATCCATTTCACTGGGAGCTGTGTCTATAGAACCTACCAGTAACTTTCATAAACTGTCATCAAGTAAAGGCAACTCACTGTTAAAATTTCACTCAGAATCTCACTTCAAACTACTCATACTCCCTATGTAGTTAACACTGATTATAATTTTTCTTCATATAGGTGGTGATTGTACAAGGTAAATATACTGTTAAGTTTCACACAGGCAACACTGACATCCATTTTGGTAGCTGTCATTTTACAATGATTTTCCTAATGTAAAAACCTTGTGTGATTGTGCCACTCTGAATAGTTGAGCAGAAGTTACATTCAGATTTACAAAGCTTCACGAAAAACAAAGAGAGCCAGTCCATAAAACCCTACAGATTAAATAGCTCATTTGGCCTTTAGTAGAAATTTTCTCCAATAATAATGCAAAGGCCCACTGCAGTCTTGTCAAAGATCAAATCAACATTTATCTGCCAAGCCTTTCATTTAGCATATACATTACTCAAGAGTAAGGACAATTAAAACATCCCATTTATTTTAAAGGGAAAGATACTTTATACACAAGTCTAATTGCAGAAGGCCTGCTCACACAGATGACAATTAACTGTGTTACGAGGTCTTTTTAAGTAAGTAGCAGTGGTTTTAAATGACATTATGTTAGATTTTTCTTCCAAACACAAGTACAGCGAGGCATTTTAGAAAGCCAAAATTGACCAACTTATCTTAAAAAAGCTATAGGCTTCCCTCAGTAATTCAGAAACACAATTGTAAAATAGCCACTTTACTGGCATGTCATATATTAGACTTTTAATTGCATTTAAGGAAAGAGATTACTCACATGGTCTGCTGATAACTAACTTTCCTAACTGGGTTTCAATCTTTTCTACATAATCCACAGACAACCAGAGGAAAATGATCATTGCTGAAGAACAGCCTTCATCACTTCTCCACAAGCCAAACCTTCTCAGATCCAGAGTATCCACTGGCAGCTTAATATTCTTATTAAGAGCCACTGAAGAAAACAGAATTTAAAATAACCATATCATTCACAGCCACGGATAATTACAAAGTCATACACGTTACAGTAATTCCATGCTAAGACATAAGTATGATCAGAGTGTATTAAAACAGTACTTGTAGATTTTACTCCTGGCATTACATAAAATGTGTTGAAAATTTAATACTTAAATCAGTTATATCACACTATGTAAAACAAAGCTACCAAATTAGTAACACCTAAACACCTAAATGCAAGATTCTTCATGGAAAAAAAAAAAACCACTATATATTTGCTTGGAATAACCACAGCTAATAACTACAAGCTTCGAAAAAAAAAAAAACCAAATTAGTAACACCTAAACACCTAAATGCAGGATTCTTCATGAAAAAAAAAAACCCACCATATATTTGCTTGGAATAACCACAGCCAATAACTACAAGCTTCGAAAAAAAAAAAATTTGCAAATCATGAGCCTCTATTTGCTTTTAGCCAATCTAATTCAGAACTGCTCACAAACCTTCTCCTACGAGATATAGAAACCACACATCATCCTCAGAAAATGGACTGAATGTTAATCTACAGTTATATTCCTCTTAGCTTTAGTCAACTCACACATTTTTGTTTAATAAACCTAAAGGTCTAAAACCTAATCTGAAAAGATTAATGTTTCACCTCAAAAACATTCGTAGACCTTACTATAGTTCAACAGCTCATATATGCTGGAATGTGGGAGGTAAGGCCATTAAAACTACAAGTTCACCTTAAAAGTGTAAGAAGTTACTAAGTTACTAATGCTTACACTATAGACACTGATACTTTTATTTACTGAAAAATGAAAAATTTAAAACTTATTTAATGTCTCTGTGAAAGCAAATAAGATTACAAATTATTCATAATATAAATATATACGAAGCATTTTAACGCAATGATTTAAAGATATAGTTAAGACAACACTAAAGAAAAAAATTCTTACCCTGAAATGGGATCGTAATATACTTGGTTCCAAACTGAAATAAAATTTAAAAATTATAAATTAGTTTGCTTTTTACAAATTGATTAAAACAAAGTAAGAACTTTTAATTATCTGTACCATCTTTCTTTGCTTATAGCCAAATAAAACTGAAAATAATATCACAGAATCATTTAGGTTGGAAAAGACCCCTAAGATCATCAGGTCCAACTGTTAACCTAACACTACCAAGTCCAATATGCCTAGTTTGAGACTTAATAGTGCTTACTTCACCTAAAACAACACTCCTAAATATACAGTGCAGAACCTAAATGACAGCAAAGTGATTTCCAGAGGTGCTAAGCACTAAGAAATAAGCAGAAAGTTGCAGTGCTGCCTACAGGCTCTTTAAGAAGACAAAAAAAACATGAATACTTGGTACAAAAGGAGCTTAAACACCCCATGATAAAGACTGTCAGTTGCACTATTTGAATTTAGGACACTACATAAATAGTCCAACACTGGGGTGTTACTTTGCTATTTACATTAACCTCTGAATTAAAGGCCTTTAGAGTTTCCCTTACACTACTGCTGTGTTAAAAAGACTTGGCTAAATAAAGAATGTTTTATTGTCACTTTGACAGAGGTTGTCATATATATTGAGAGAAGAGGTTTCTCTTATGTTACCACAGTAAGCACAAAGAATAAAGTTGTTTTTTCCATGTAAAATTTTCACTTTCCACCTAAAAGCACTGATTCTAAAAATATTTCAACTCATCCCTCAAATTATTTTGGCATATTAATTTAGGAGATCTCCATGAAATGTTTTCATTACTGCATGAGAACTGCTGCAGAGAACTGATGTTTTGTGAAAAGCTGAAATTATTATTACAATCCAAGACTTCAATATGTATTACTGTAAGCAAAAAAGAGATACACATGTTCAAATATTTCAATTTCAATTGCAATACACAAAATGAGCCTGGTCAAAGTCCTGTTGAAACTCCTCCAGCTGGTACTCCATTTGAAGTACACCTTCACTTACATTTCTACACCCTTTGAGTGGCACGTAGCCTATGCACTAGTGCTTTTAGTATCATTTTCATGCTCTTTAAAGCTGTAAAACAAGCAATTTTCTGTTTAAAAGGCAAGATTAACGCATAGTATATATCTGAACTCTAATCACTATGGATTACTTTATTCTAATATCTGTACTATTTCTGAGAAAAGTAATTAGTATTTATTTCAAGTGACATTAACATGGTCATTATTTTCTGTTAGAATTCATTAAAAGCTTCCTCAATATGATTTCTGTATCATAAATGATACAACATTTGTACAGAACCTTTACCTCTGAAAACTGGGGCCGCAGAAAATCCCTGTTAGCCTTTCTATTGACAGCAATCCAAATGTACAAGGTAGTGGACAACATACTTTATTTAGCCAAAGCAATTTGATGCAACAATAATCAAAACTCAGTGCTTCTACACTAATTACCACTAGCTTTGATTAACCAGAATTTTAATTTTTAAATATTCTCAAAATATTACCATAATATAACAACTTACCCTAGCAGGACCTGTTGATAACCATTTAAATTTCCCAATGTATAGACTATCAAATTCAACATCCAATGCTGGGTTCATCTGTTTTCTGGGTGTGCTTACAGAAGGTAAGCTGATAGGACACTTATCTTCAATGGACTCCGTTAAACACTAGAAAAAAGAAAGTATATTTACTACAGGGCTTTAAATGAGATACTTCCATAACCTTAGGAATTTTCTCTTCATGTCTGTAAGACTGTACTCCCAAAGCCAACTTCTATACAAAAATGCTGTATTAAAAAGCTGTGAATGTTACTACAACCATTACTGACAATATCCTTAAGGGCCTAGCAGTATCTTGCCCCACCTCCAAAGTTCCCATTGCCAAGACATAACCTGTGCTCTAACTAATCTAGAGCCATGTAAAACCCCAAACAACAGAGCAACAAGAAACACCCCTCTTTTGATATCAAAGGTACAGGATCCGATTCAATGCTTATAATCAAAATGATGCACCTATGAGAAGAGGCAGCAACGGCTCTTCTGACTTGTTTCTGGATCACAGAGATAACCCAAATCCAGGTCAAAACAAGCAGCACAAGGCTCATCAAGTTCAAAATGTGGCAACAACCCTTATGGCTAGTTTTAGATTCAAATTCTGTTAGCCACACAGGAAAGGGAACTTTACCCTACCTCTGTCTGCTATCAACAAAGATCCTTGAACTTCTCCATGCACTGAATTACAACAGAGGACTGGATAACCAGAAGAAATTACTGACTTGAACTACAATCAATAACAAACTGTGTGAAAAACAACTTTTCACATATGTATTTTCATCATGTCTACCTCTAGCTCAGATTACTATTTGATCCTTCCTGTTCTGTAATATTAAACATTTCCAAATGTTTATTTTCAAAATACGAAATACATTGTACGTTGCAAAACCACCAAAGATTCGGAGCCAGAGATCCTCTCTAAAGACTGTCCAGAATTCTATCTGTGAAATAAATTACCGCAGCTACTGCTTGTTGCTGGGACTCATCATATCTGCTCTAAGCATTTCACTTTTGTCCTAACACGCAAGAAAAAATAAACATTGGAGAAATAAACTGAAGGGTTGGCATAAGAATACATAAGCCAAAAAAATGGACTACCTCCTCTGTGTGACTTTCCATCTTGTCTTCTAATTGCTTTGCTGAGATACAGAAGTCAGACTGTTGGTCTGTTTCTTTATCATCAGTGACACTATCCTGCAGCAGCTCTGTGCATTTTGGTTCAGAAGGTTCACCTTCATCATCACTGGAAAGGACAACTAAAGAGGAGAAAAGAAGCATACATATAGTACAAGACACAGACTTGAGAATATTTCATTCACTGAAGATTTCAGATGAGTAAGAAATTGTCCCTTGTAAGATGTAATATCAAATTACATTGCCCAAACCAGTCAAGGTCTGTGTGCAAGACAGTGTATGCAACAAGTACTACTTTGTATCTTTACTAGTATTTTTCACTGAAGATCCTAAAAATTATTTGACTATTAAGAGAAACAGGCCACAACAGAGCTGTTTCAAAGAAGAGAGAATACTTTTTTCTCAGCTTAAGTATCATTAAAAAGTACAAGCTTGATCTTCGACAGCCACAAAGTCAGCTATAAAATAAGGACTGGAATTTGAAAATCCTGCTGTCTATGCTGTTTCTCAAGTACAAGACCCTCTAGGCTCCAGTAGAGGACACTGGCAGTAGGCACTGTTCTCTAACCTGCGCAATGCATTACAAACAACGTGATCTTGGTCTTCAACCTTTTGTTCCATGTTTCAACTTGTCAGTCATGCATGAGTTCTCCTAGTACCTAAGCGTACAAGTAGTAATTGTCAGCAGCACAGATACAGTACATACTTGGGTCAACTGAAACAAGTTGCCGATTACCCCTGCAGATTCTGTTCCGCAGTTCGCTGAGGTACTGTGACGCGTCCACCTTCAATTTCCTGATGGTATTAACTCGTGGTGAAATCACGTCCTTGCTGGTGGCAGAAAGCTGTTTCTCTGACCAATCTGTGGCAGGAGACTCTGAGCCAGATTTTTCTGTGCTGCTGTAAGCAGGCCTTAAGTGGTTGCGGGTGCATGTGTCTTCACAGTCTCTCTCTAACGGCTGGAGAACACAGTCTGGCACCAGAATTGTATTAGATCTGCGACCTCGTCCATCTTCACAGGGTGTTCTGCGACCAGGAGACTGAGTTGAACTCAACCTTTGCTCTTTCTAGAGAACAGGAATCAGAGATGAGATATATGTTTATTTCTTGATGTTTCTATGATGGTTCAGACCAGTGATCACTGAAGCTTAGCTATGTGCCAGACAAATCATTATAGCTTAATGCAGCTGCATTTAAAGCTAAGTCAGGGTAATTTCTTCCTCCTAGTATTCCAAAGGTTACTACATAAAGGTACGAGGGACAACCTTTTAAAAGCCTACTATGACTCCCATTCAAACTGAACAAGAAACTATTGCTGAGTTTTTAGCAGCTCTCTCACTGTCTGACACTGAAAGACCACGCACCAGCAGTGTTCATTACATTGCAAATGCGTGGCTTGGTCAACAGAGTGAACAGGACTCAGAAACTACTTACTTCTACGGGGTTTTAATCAAAGTTTCAGAGATGCCTTTATTGTATTGAAACACTTGAATATAAATCACAGTTTGTACTTGACTGATTCCCTCAGTCTTTTTTTTTTTTAATATCTTAATGACACATAAGAATAAAACTTTAAGGAAGGGTAAAATAGAGCAAGGAGGAGGGAGAAAGATGGTATTTGCAAGATTTCAACAACCCCAGATATACTTTGTATTTTTTGTACCAAAATCCCGAATTAGTTCTATACCATCTGTGAAAGAAGCCTCACTTAAGTGGCTAGATGCCTTATTTTGAAAATGGTTTTACTGCATGCTCCTGTCTGAAGGAAACACTGTCATTCATCTCTTACCACTTTTCTCCTACAACAAGCATATTCTGATGTGTCAGCAGCATAGCTATGACTTGTTCACCATCACAGAAACATGGTGGGATGACTCATGATTGGAGTGCTGCAATGGATAGCTATAAGCTCTTCAGAAGGGACAAGCAAGGAAAGAGAGGTGATGGAGTGTCTTTGTATGTTAAGAAGTGTTTCGATTGTGTAAAGATTAATGATTGTGAGGACATGGCCAAGTGTTTACAGGTAAGGATGAGGGGGAAGGCCATGAGGTAGATATCCTGCTGAGGAGGAAGAGGCAGGTAAGGCATTCTATAAGCAACTGGCAGAAGTCTCTCAATCGTTAGCCCTTGTCCTCATGGGGTACTTTAACTTACCAGATGTCTGCTGGAAATACAACTCAGCAGAATGGAAACAGTCCAGGAGGTTCCTGGAGTGCGTGGAAGATAACTTCCTGACACAGCTGGTAAGGGAGCATACAAAGAGAGGTGCCTCACTTGACCTCCTGTTTACGAACAGAGAAGGGCTGGCGGGAAACATGGTGGCTGGAGGCCGACTTGGGCTTAGCAACCTTGAAACGACAGAAGTCTCTGTTCTTGGTCAAGTTAGGAGGAGAGTCAGCCAAACCACAAACATGGACTTCCAGAGGGCTGACTTTGGGCTGTTTAGCAGACTGGCTAAGAGAGTCCCTTGGGGGTCGGTCCTGAAGAGCAAGGGGGTCGAGGAAGGCTGGACGTTCTTCAAGTCTTACGGGTGCAGCAGCAGGCTGTCCCTGTGTGCCAGAAGACGAACCGGCAGGGGAGACAATCAGCCTGGTTGAACAAGGAGCTTTTGCTGGAACTCAGGGAAAAAAGGAGGGTTTACCACTCTTGGAAGAGGAGGCAGGTAACTCAGGAAGAGTATAGAGAACTTGTTATGTCATGCAGAGGGAAAATTAGAGAGGCAAAAGCCCAACTAGAACT